ACCGATTTACTCACGAACAAATAAAACACTGTATAAGCCAAACAAGAACATTTTTAAGTTATCAAAGTGACTTATACATCATGTTTAACCTGAGTAATGAAAGACTGCGGGGGTTTGAAGACGATGTGTCGGTCGGCTCAGATATTTGAAGTTTACACAGCTACATTCTCACCTGAAAATATGTTAAAAGTTTTTTTGCGACCCAGAAAGAGAAATAAGAGTGATATTAAAACTAAGTCGCTGCCGTCATTGTTGGAAACTGGAATTGGCTGGGCCGCGCTATGAATTCTGCGATATGGTTTTTCAACTTTGTTGTCCGGGTGGAAAATCTGGAGAAAGGTGGGATTCTCCCGGAAAAATCGGGAGGGTTGGCATGTATGGTTGTGGCAACATCACTAACCTTGTCAAACACCTCAGAGTAAATCATATCACAAAATATGACGAGCGTATGTTGAGGCGAACTGAAGAGGAGGAGAGGGACAGGTGCTGCTAGGGTGAGAGTCTCTCACGGAGTCCTTTAGTCCTCCAGGCAGGCAAGGTGTTCAAATAGCACACAACTTTAGTTTTTTTATTTCTATATGATGAACTCTGCATTATTAAGTGATAAGAAGAAGGTATTCTGATGTCCTGTAATCATTATGACGCTATAATTTGAGATACAATAAATAAAATCCGTTTTGTACAAAGTATCGGTATCGGATCAGTATCGTCGATACCACCCTGAATATTACTTGGTATCGGATCGGAAAGGAAATCAGTGGTATCGCACATCACTACTAAAGACTAATGGCAAATTCCATTTCTTTGGTTTTCATATATTATATTCATTGACTCATCCCCCTACATATGTGATGTTACGGTTTCCGTTTTTTTCAAGTGCCAGTTAGTGTTCACCAAAATTTGCATTAAAACAGAATTTAGTTTGAGTCACTACTAAAAATGGAATGAAGAATTGTAATTGAAGTACTTAACTATGAGATTACAATTTATTCTGGTAAAAGCAGACCAACCATTAGGACAGTGAAAGGTATGGCAAGTATTCAAATTCAAATTTTATTTGTCACACACACAACCATACACAGTATGACATGAGGTGAAAGGCTTATAGCTGTGCAGTGCCGACCATTAAATTACAGTAGGTTTCCAGTAAGATATAAAAATTCAGAGCTTACTAAAAAATTTACAGCTTTAACTTTGAAATTTACAGTAAGAATGTTCAAATAACAGTTTACGTAAGAGATTAGTAGTCAAAAGAATTATAAATTACAGGAAGTGTGCAAGAAGAAAAACCAGAGTGCGTGTGGTGATGTGTGTGAGAGTCCAGTTCTATAGTGTTGTGATGTGTGTGAGGGAGTCCAGTCCTACACCTGGTTCAGGACCCGAATAGCCTGGGGGAAGAAGCTCCTCCTCATTCTCTCTGTTTTGGCCTTAAGAGAGCGGAAGTGCTTCCCAGACCTCAACAGTGAGAAGAGTCCATTGTTGGGATGGGAGAAGTCCATCGTAATCTTCCTGGCTTTGGTGTAGATGGACAGCAGGTCAGGAAGCTCTGATTGAATGATACATTCGGCTGAGCGCACCACTATTTGCAGCTCTCGATGGTGCAGGAGTAAAAGTTCTTGAGCACTCTCAGTGGCAGATGGAAGTCTCTGAGTCTTCTGAGGAAGAAGAGATGCTGGCAGGCTTTCTTAACCAGGGTGTTGATGTGAGAGGACCATGACAGGTCCTGAGTGATGTGGACACTCAGGTATCGGAAACTGTCCACTCTCTTCACTGGCGTGCCACTGATGATGAGGGGCTTGTAATTCCTTGCCTGGTTTGTAGTGCAGTCCACGATCAGCTCCTTAGTCTTGCTCACGTTTAGGAGGAGGTTATTCTCCTGGCACCAGGTCTCCAGGTTCCTAATCTCCTCCAGGTATTCTGTCTCGATGTTGTTGGAGATCAGGCCCACAACAACAGTGTCGTCAGCAAACTTGACAAATGGAGGTGGTGTCCGATGTGGCTACACAGTCATACGTGTACAGCAAGTACAGCAGAGGGCTTAAAACACAGCCCTGAGGTACTCCTGTATTGAGCGAGATAGAGTGGGAGACTTGTTTTCCCACCCTCACAGACTGGGGTCGGTCTGTACTGCAAAATGTTATGTAAAGCTTTGTTTTAAATTTTCAATGTTTTTTTGGAGTTGTCAATCATTCCTGAATTATATACACATTATAACCAGCCTTTAAGTGATGACATATGATCACTGCTTCCGGGTCCAAACTACTCTGCTTTTATTAAGGCTGTTATGTTTTTAAGATGTTTTAATGCTATGTGTCTTGTTCTATTTCAATTTAAACAGGCCCCTAAAAAAAGCAGTGATCACTGACGGGCTCTTTTGGTTTATATTACAAATATTCATTTAGCTGGCTTCACCTTTTAAAACCAGTTTCCATCTCAGTTTTTAAAACCTTACGAACTACAGCCCAGTCCATGCAGCAGTAAATTAATGACTAACTTCCTATTGTGGATGGATTATCTCATTTGTTCTGCTGACTTAAGTTTGGTCCATTTACAGGATCCTGCCTTTGTCCTTAACCATTGGGAACCCTCGCGTTAACTTTTATCGAGTGGAAAAAAGGTAGCGCTCATCCTCCAGCTTCACTGTGTTTATATTATGCTAACATATCTGTGTCACGTAGCACATCATTATATACCAGCTAGCCCAACTTCACTAACCTTACAAATGTCACTGCTGTTTAGTTTCCTGTCTTGATTTATGTCGGAAGTGATAGCAGAGCTGTACGTTTTAATTTTTTCAGAAACCCCTGTCAGAACATAGAGTTGGATGTCTTGAGACCGGTCTTGGTCTCGAGACTCAAGACCACTTTTACGTGGTCTTGGTCTCGCTGTCTCGGTCTTGCGTTCTCAAATCGACAGTGTTCGGGAGGAGATTTGGAGTCAACCATCAGCGTAGCGGGGGGTGGCTTACTGGGCTGAAGCCCGGGCCATTTTTTCAGAAGCATGGGGTCTTTTGGAGTGTAATTTGTTAGTTAGATGCCTGACTGACAGCTCTATAAAACAAAAACAACACACGAAGCACAGAGCGCACCTTCGTAAATCCCCCCTAATTTTGGTATGATCCGAGCTCAGCACAGCACTTACGCCTGTGAGCGAGGGGAGAGAAGCTGCTGCCTGCTAGTGATGGGATTTCCGGCTCCTTTTAGAGAACCGGCTCTTTCGGCTTGGCTCACTAAAAAGAGCCGGCTCTTTCGGCTCCCAACCAGCTCTTCAGGTTGTTTTGTTGCTTTAATTAATTTATTACTAACAATAATATAAAATTATGCACAAAAGGAATTACTAATGTAAAAAAAAAGTGGTTTTATTTATATATGTTTATATATAAATATATGCGGTGGCCCCTAGAGACAAAACACATACAAACTCCAAAAATCACGTACAAACTCCAAAACACATTTCTAGAGTTAACTGAACTTCCAAAACAGAGCTACCTAGATCACTTAAATTACACAATTGAAACCATATGTGTATTGTTTGTGTATTTATACACAAGCACTCATATATATTCAAATAATTTAAAAAAATGTTCGTTTACCTTCTACTACCACACACCAAATCCGGTCGTTGGTACTTCCTGGCTTGTATAGCCACTAGGTAACAAAAGCTCAACACTGGACCTAGCATTCTGGAGCACTTCTGTTGTCTTTTGTACGTGTTTTGAGTTTTTATGTGCTTTCTGAGTTTTTTCGTGTTTTGGAGTTTGTACGTGTTTTGTTTCTAGGGGCCACCATGAACATACTTTTATTTATTTACTCCACATAAAATGTAATAAATAAATCATATAATAAAAAATCCAGCTATTCTCATTTCAACTTTTAACTATTTAAATTTTCAGCTTTTCCCTTTTAAACAAATTTAAAGTGAAACAACACAAAACTACGGTGGCCCTGAGAGGCCAAACGGACTGCAACTTCAGAAAACACTTGCAAAAAGAAAAATGCTGCAAAAAGGAAAACGCTGCAAAAAGAAAGACGCTGCACTGCAACTTCAAGAAAAAATCTGCACTGCAAAAAGAAAAAAGCTACAAAAAGAAAGACGCTGCACTGCAACTTCAAGAAAAACGCTGCACTGCAAAAAGAAAAATGCCGCAAAAAGAAAAAACGCTGCAAAAAGAAAAGCGCTGCAAAAGCACACAAAGCACAATGGAAATAGGAAAAAAGACAACAGAAATGTTCCTGGGGAGACAATAACCCGACGGACCAGTTGCACGAACCAAAACATGCTAACCAGTGCGCTAGGACTGGGACACACTTCAAAGAAGTGGAGGAGAGGTAAATGTGTTGTAATCTCATGATTCTAATAATACTACAGATATGTTTGCAGTGTTTGGGAGTAACGAAATACATGTAACACTGTCACGTATTTAAAATACGAGTAACTGTATTCCGTTACAGTTACTGTGTAAATAGGTGGTATTCAGAATACAGTTTTTTTGTTGAAATAAATAGATTACACATCATTATTTTCCTATTTCGTATGTTAGGCTATGCCCTCTCTATTTTTTGTTAATTCCACTCTGGTGGAAACCCAAACAAAACAAGCATTAAAAGGCTCTAATGCCTGTGTCTCAGTTTCGCGGCCCATGCCACCTCTACTTGCGGCAGTATAATGACATGACAAAATATTTTCAATAATTATTGTTCAAAAAATTATTTAATATGAAGGCAATAGGCAGAGTATTACAGGCATAGCGATAAAGGATGTGCCCTCATGTAGTCATGTATTTTTCTAAACGCCCTGGAACAGCATCCTTCACTCTTCTTCTCATTCATGTGCTACACTGAGACCAGGCTGACAGCTGATCTTCTTGAGAACATCTTCCATGTGCAATTTGGTCCACCTGGCAGCTCTAGGCGTCAAGAGGAGACGAGTACTTTGTAAACCTTTGTTTGTAAAACAGATCTCCAAATTAATCAACGTGTTTGTTACAACACCTAATTAAAAGGAACAAGTTATTTTGTACAGTATGGTCTTTTGATTTCTTCAGGTCGAAAGCGTACACACTGAAAAGTTGACGGTAGTGAAACTATTTATATAAAAACTATGGTACTATTTTTTTCAATACTCATTAAAGTTGGTTTGTGACAATTAGTGTCAGTGGTAATTGTACCCACATCTAGCAGATGATTTTACATTGACTTCTAAAGTCCAGTCATATTTTTGAGTGTTATATAATTTTCAACTGCAGTAGTCCAGTTGACTGGTCGAGGGAGCTCACTCTGTCTTTCCAAGTTTGTGAAATGAACCTGGAGATTGTCGTCCCCACATAGACTGTACTGAGCAGGTAGAATGTCATCAAACTGGTGCAGGATGTCTTGAGGCACTTGGAATCCACACTCTCTTCCACCATACCTTAGGTCAGTCAGAAAAATGAACAAATTCAGTCACTTCTCCAGGTACTATCCTTCAAGGTTACAGCAAAAGCGCAAAGTCAATCTTATAATTAAAAGTCAGTTCTGGAAATTGTGATTTTAAAGAATCTTAATTATGCATATATCTACATTTGTCATTTTTAGCCAAGATGTGATCCAAAGTTAAAATATGATTGTCTAACTTTTTTTTTTTTTTTTTGGAAAAAAATATAAAAATAAAACGTAAGTGCATGAAGTCAGAGAACAGAACTAATGGCAAAACAGAAGTGGTAGCTTTAATTTCTATTCAGCAAAAAGGTGAAAACAACAAAACACACTATTCAATTGCTAAAGTGTGTGTAATACCTGCTGTGAGTAACAGTTAGGGCAAATTGTTAAACCTAAATGACATACTGCTTACTTAACTCAAGTGGTTAGGTCAAGAAAGAAAAGAGTGCACATAAGGGATGGACTGTTCCTGAACCATTTTATAAATGAACAAAAGGTTTAATAACAGCAAGCTGGACAGGTATCCTGCACATACAATACACTATACTGAGGAAGAAAAATTTTAGTAAAACTATGAAATAAAATACATGGACTAAATACATACCTATGAGGCAGGTGATACATGGCTTCTGGTTTACCAGATGGACAACAAGATTGGCGCACAGGTCGGATGGTGTGAGTGTTCCAGAGATCTCTGTACTCGTCAAGCTCTTTTTGCAAGACATTGAGGAAGACATATCGTAGAAGGCATTTATGTTCATGACTGCCGTTGAAAAGATGCCTCTCCCTCAGGTCACTGAAGAGTTCAATCCAGAACTGAGTTCTAATGGTGGAATGACAAGGCATATAAAATTTAATAACACAAGTAATTCAATGTAATTGTCCTCTTTAAAAAAATAGTCGTAATCTTAAGAATATTGAAATGTGTGCAATTTCGTTCAAAGAAAAGCTTATTCACATGTTCTGAAGTGTTTCATCAATGCACTGCAGGAAAAAAAAAGCAACTTCACACAAATAACAAAATTTAACAAAATGATTAATCCTTCTGTTATTCCTGCATTTGGCGGTTGAACTTAAGAAAAGTTGTAATATACAGGTCTGTCCATATAAATGTACTATTTTATTTCTACATGAACACTGAAGCTGTTATCACTTGTTAGATACCACACAGAAATCCAAAAGCTAGTGAAAACATCAGTATTTTTTTTTTTGGCACACAAAGTCGAAGAAATGTCTGAAACGAATGACCTCCTCTAACAAATTTCTGTCATGTTGGATCAATGTTCTTATATTACTCATATTACAGTTCTCAAATTTGAAGAAACCCTTGTTCTTATATTTATATGACTCCCTACAGGTAAACTATTTGATCTAGATGTTAGTTTGGTACTACGTAGGCACACAAATTTGAATAAATTTTACTCAATTTTAAATACATCATCTTCATAATTCATAATAATTTATTAAAATGTTGAATGTCAGTTTGTTTGTTGTTTTTTTATAGTTCCTTTTTAGGACTTTTGTGGAATGTCTGAGTAGGAGTTTCCTTTTGAGTGTGTTGTTTTAATACAAACAAATGTCACTGGTATACCAAACCATTCATTATATTTTTTGAAGCAGTTGTGCATCACATGAGAAAAATGTGTAGGTGACTATGTTTTTCTTTGTTTGTTTGTGACTGTAATTTAATATTTGAGTATAAAGCCCCACCCACAAAAAAAAGTATATCACTGACCACGAAACACCTTCAGAACCATTCAATTTTAGTTTCAGAATATATTTTAAAAGCCATGTACCTTTGCTTTCTGAACAAAGACCACCAACTTTCAATCCGTTGATTTGTAGTTGAGGTACCATACATATGACTGTGGGCTCCTGCAAGTTCATCTCCATGGTCTGATCTTAAAGCACAGTGAATGGCTGCCATTGTGCCATTTTCTGTGCCACAGTCTGTACGAAGGCATGCTGGAAGTTGACCAAACTGTGACAAGCACTCCATATAATATTTTGCAATGATACCTGGGTCATTATTTGAGCTGCCACAGCTGAGCCACATAACTTTCCTTGAAAATCCATCGACACATGCACTAATAGCAACACCAAAGGGCTTCAGCTTATCATAACCATCCACATGCCACACTTGATTTAGTCCTTCTGAAAAATATCCTCTTCGAACAAACCTGCGTTTACAGCGACGCTTAACACCATATGGATCTAGTCTTGAGAGTATGTGCATTACATCATTTCTTTTAACTTTCAGATTATACTTTTGTCGCAGTGTCTGACACATGGATCTGTAACCCAGAAGCTGACCTGAGCCTCTCAGTTCTTGTGTAACAGTGGAAATGACAATGTCAGTGGGAGTAAAGTCTGTCCTTCTAGTCATTCCAGCATCTTTTAGCCTCCTCTTTAATGTTCTCAGACTCATACAAATATTATGCTTGTTTTCAAGAAAATCCAGGATCACTTCATATGTATGGCCCTCAGAGAAATACTTATTGATGATGTCTGTGACTGAGACTGGGCCTAAGGTTGAAGAGAAAACATGAAAAGATAATTACAAACGCAGGAATCCACAAATGCACTTAATAAGTGTTTTTAAAAAAAATACCACATCTGAAACAAGTCTCAATAAACATGACTCAAGTATTTAATCTTCTTGATGTGTGCTTAAATAAAGGCCAGCAAAAGCTCAAAGAACATGGACCAGGATTCAGGACTTATCACTCTCATTAAGACCTCTATGCTGACAACTCAAAATGAGCAAAATTAGAGAAGTTAGAAGAATTTCGTCACTGTGTACATATGCCCTATTAAGTCATAAACTAGTTTTTAAAATTATGCCGTAGAACCGGTGGCAGGCTTAAACCAGAATACAGTTCTTAGTACCTACCAGTTCATGCCTTTGCGTTTTTGGAATTCTGATTTATCTTGGCATACAGAGTCTTTAACAATACAAAAACCTTAGAATAAGGAAATGAATATAGTACTTTGGAATGGCACATGAATAATAATCCCCCCCCCCCCAAATAAAAAAGTTTAACACGCACTACTGAAGCTACTGTGGTGTATATAAGTCATTATGAAGCAATTAAAAGGTGAGCAATAAATACTAGAACTTAGGAAAGTGAAGTGCTTACCATTCTCTATAAAAGGTGCTAAAACTTGAATGTTAGTTCCACAGGACCCACAAAAAACTCCAATTTGCCCCACTAGCTGGATTCCACAATATGGACAATACATTGCCTGATGAAGACACAATGCCAAATTAAAACCTGAACACATTAACTGCAATATTCCTTAATGACTTTGACTTATTAGTATTTGTTCTCGAGTTTCAAAAAGCTTCATTTCTAAGGCTACATTAAACATTATCTTTGTTAGAATTATCTTTGAATGTATATTCCAGATATCTGTAGTATTATTAGAATCATGAGATTACAACACATTTACCTCTCCTCCACTTCTTTGAAGTGTGTCCCAGTCCTAGCGCACTGGTTAGCATGTTTTGGTTCGTGCAACTGGTCCGTCGGGTTATTGTCTCCCCAGGAACATTTCCGTTGTCTTTTTTCCTATTTCCGTTGTGCTTTGTGTGCTTTTGCAGCGCTTGCTTTTCTTTTTGCAGCATTTTTCTTTTTGCAGTGCAGCGTTTTTCTTGAAGTTGCAGTGCAGCGTCTTTCTTTTTGTAGCGTTTTTCTTTTTGCAGTGGAGCTTTTTTCTTGAAGTTGCAGTGTAGCGTCTTTCTTTTTGCAGCGTTTTCCTTTTTGCAGCATTTTTCTTTTTGCAAGTGTTTTCTGAAGTTGCAGTGGCCTCTCAGGGCCACCGTACAAAACACTGCAAACCACAACACAAAAAATATAATTAAATATAAATGAAAATATGAAAACAAAAAGAAGATGCACATTCTCTGTCATATGGGCCTGCATGAATAAACTTTCTGTATCCTTTATCATCTGCAACTGAAAATAGTTGTGGATGATTACTATACCTTTCTGATGTGACGTTGTTGTCCCTGGCTCTCTTTCTCTGTCTCTCCCTCCCGTTCTGTTCCTGTGCTACTGCGAGTGTAACTACCACCCCTCCCCCCTCATCCCAGCGTAAAGCACAAGGCTCGCGTGCAGAGTGAAGCGGAAAAAAAGTGCGAGAGAGAGGGTGAGAGAAAGAAAAAAACAAAACAAAAACACGGCTCACGATAAGGAGCCTGATCGCGTCGTTCATGTCAAAGACCCAGCTCTAAGAACCATTTCGTTTGCGACAGACACATCACTACTGCCTGCGAGTTTGCTGCAGACAGAGGAGAGCTTAAGTTTTACCAGGTACCAAAGCAAATCATTCGTAGGCCTACTGTACAAATATATATCACAAAAGATTGATATCAAACTGATCACTTGGTTGCGTTACTTGCTCTTCGAGTGAATCAACAAATGGATAAATAAAAAGCCGAATGACAATGCTGATTTTTTGAGAGAGCCTTAGCTTACATTTCATATTTTCAGTTGTTACCCTCCACGGCTAAACAAACTCTCTAAATCCGTTTCAATTGTGTACTGATGAACACAACAATAGACATAAGGAGCGTCTTTCAAAGAAAAAACTCAGGTAGATGTTATTTTATATATTATGCTTTGTATGTTGTTCAGTGGGCAGCTATGACAGCTGGGATAGGCTCCACGACCCTGAAAAGGATAAGCGGAAGCGAATGGATGGATGGATGGATGTTGTTCAGTATATTTCTACGCAAAACAAGAGAAATTTCAATACACAGCAGTATCAGATCAGATCAGAAACTTTATTGTCATTGTCACGAGAACAACGAAATGAAGAATGGTCCCCGATCATTGCATCATCCCTAGCAATATCAAAATATAAATAAAACAATAAAATTCAATAAATAAAATAGATAATAGTATATTCACAGTTGAAACCAGATATTTACATACACTGCAAATTTCTTGTAGCTTAACAAGATTTATTGTCTTAGATTTAGCCAGATTATCTTGTCCATCTTGTTTTGAACATTACAAGCTAGTTTCCAGTCTCATGTGTTAGATGATTAGACTTGTTTCAAGTATATATTTCTTTTTTTCTTATTTAGTCTGTAAATCTAAAAATGAACATTTTACATTTATTTCAAGCAAAAATAGCTTTTAGATAGAGTGTAAAACAAAAAATTATCTCAAAACAAGAAACATTCACTAGGAAAGTAAATCATTGGAAGGACACTTTAGGGAGAAAACATAATTCTTCTTTTTTTTTACTTTTAAACATCAATTTAGAGTAAACTTGTTTTGTTTTAGATAAATAAATGTTGAAATATCTTTTTAATTAGTTAAATGTCAGAATAAAAAGAGGGAGATGTCTATTTTAATCACTTTCATCAAATTTAGGAGTACATATACACTAAGTTTATTGTTAATTAATAAGAAAACTCCAGATGATTCCATTCTGAGCTGAAGAAACTTCTGATAGGTTAGTAGAGTCCATGTGAGTAAATTGGTGGCAAACCTGTGGATGCATACAAGACACCCCAACACAGAGCCTGTCAGTGTTGCCAACTCCTCAGTAAGGAAAATCGCTATTGGTTGTCCTAAAAGTCGCTAGAAGTCGCTAAAGACGTCATTGCCTAATTTGCATAATTGGTCATGCTAATCTAATTGTAATCTATGTTGTTGGAGAGAGAAATAACATCGTGGAAGAGACATAAAGTGAGTAAAAAACGTCCTAAATGCATTTAGAGTTTATTTAGAACTAAAAATCACATTTATTTTAGCAAGTATTGCTTTTTTTAATGTCACAATTTCAACCCTGCTCCTTTACCTGGGCTTGCACCGGCAAAAGTGACCCGAAATAGGCACTCTGGTGGAGTTACTTTGTGTGTGTGTGTTTATAAGTAGTTTTAAACCTTGTGATCCACAAAACAGCATAAGAGTAAAAGAAGAACTGACTGCGTTACAGCACCCGCTGCTTGTTGAGAGTAAAAGCGATACGCGCTTTCACGTCTTTTTTAGTGACTTTTTCTAGAAAAAAAGTCGCTAAGGGGTCTGAAAACTCGCTAAATATAGCGACAAAGTCGCTAAGTTGGCAACACTGGAGCCTGTTTCTTTGACATGGGAAAATCAAGAGATATCAGCCAAAACACCAGGAAAAGAATTGTCGACCTCCGTAAGTGTGGCTCAAATTTGAATACAATTTAGTGCAATTAAGAAATACAGATAGTTTCTCTCTCTACTCCTAAAGTTAACAAATATATTTTTTATATTTATCAATCTAAAAAAGTAAACATTTAGTCTGATTTGATGTTACAATTAAAAAAGTGTTTGTGTTTTTATCAGAAGAGTACATAAATATCTGGTTTCAACTGTATATTTGATGATGTTGGTGTTTGGCTTGATTGTCAGCACAAAGAGGGAGAGAGAGGAATAGAGAGGGAGGGAGAGAGGAGAATGAGGACAGAACAGAGAGGGAACAAGAGCAGGTGAGACACACATGTTAGTCAAATGGTTGTTTGCCAAAACTCATCAGAACATGTATCTAGTGCCTAGTGTAACTTTTTAGATACAATTTATTACTTTTCAAATTCTATATTTATGAAATGATGCAGGCTTGTTTGCACAACAAGGCTAAATAATTATATAAACTTTTCTGAATCTAAATAGTGGACTTTGGTAGAATTCAAGAGAAGTTTTGGGGTTTCAATATCTTAGCTAAAACCACTAAAAAGACAGGAATGGAATTAGTTAGCATCAACTGGGCCATAGCTGCATGGATATCTATGGGCAGGAAGAAAAAGGATCATTTGCAAAATAGTAAATAACTTAGAAATTGCACTTACTGTAATTGCAGATTAACCTACTCATTTAATAATTTGTAGACAGCTATGGATGGTTAGTAGCTAGCTTAGCTTTAGATCTGCCGACTGCATATACTGTAGTTCAACTTAAATACTCTGAAATTATCATTTTCATATATCATATATTAAAATAATTTCAAAAGTAGGCTTACCATATTTGAATGCTAGGTGTAGTGCTAGGGGTCTCACCATGTAATGCACCTAACCTAAGGACCTCTTTAGTTTAAGGCCAACACTCCCACTGCTTAAACTTAACTTCAAATTCCATATATCCAGTAAATGAAGGTGTGCCAACAATAAAGACTGCAATATTGATAATCATCACAAACAAGTCTTAGTGTTGGAGTATTCCTTTACTTCCCTGTTTTTCTAGCTATTCATTGTTTAGAAATCAGTATTTATAATACATTCTTACAGTTTCCTTTAGAAAGAATATACACTTTGCTGTTGCTGCAAACAAACAGTGCAAGGAATGCAACTCTCCAGACTTGGAGTGAGCATTATTTCTAACCTAAATTGTCTAGGTCCATAGAGAGTTACCTTTAAATCATTATGTCAGCAGGAGTCCTACCCTCAGGACACAATAACTCCCGAAGTGAAACTCACTGAACTAGATGAAAGAAGTTGATGCCATTTGCTCATGTGCACTGGTACACAAATTGTGCACACCAGCAGGTATGGACACACATGCCCACACAAATATCTTTATACTATAAATGTCTACATGCAACATGCATAGTCATGGTGAAGTATATGGATGGGGTTTAGTGCAAAGAGAGCAATGAAGTGAAATGAATGGGAAAGATAATTTCAAGGAAAATGTCATTGGGGTGTGTATCACACACACATAAAGACAGGAGGGAATATTGTGAGGACTCTTCTTGCAATTTGTCACGCCTCTCTGCAGCAGTTTTCTATAATTGATTTAAACACACAGAGGCAATTACTTTAATTCCATCCATCATGTGCGATGGGAACTCCAATAGCCCATTAGTGCTGTCATATATTTACTCTTTAATGGTGTGTTCATAAAAACACAGACCTAAATCCATTTTGTGTGTGGCGCAACCTTTCTTTCTCAATATACTTTTTAAAAAAATGAAATTAAAATTTGGATTCACCCTTTTCCCCCATTTTATATATATACATGCATGAGTGTGTGTGTGTGTGTGTCAAAGGAAAAGGAATAAAACATTTTTCTTTTCTATTTTCTTGTCTTCCTAAAATTGTCTTTATTCATCTCTGTCCATTTGCCATATATCTAAAGAGAATGGCTGAGTTTTTGCATATCAAATCACCCTGTTTCCCCCAGCATTGCCCCACCTAAGAGTGACAACTCTAAATTAAACCGTTAACTCAACTCAAACTAAAGTCACAAAGCATCTGCATATTCCTGCTAAAGCTAAAGGATTTTTGCTTGTTTTAAGTTTTTAGTAAACCAAGCAAATTGCTGCTTGTTAGATTAAACTGTTTTGAGATTTCCCTTTCATTACAGACACAATGGACTGATACAAACATGTTGGTTAACTGCCAAATGATCTGTCTCTGTTTATGTGCATAAACAAGTGTTTGTACATTAGAGCTGTAGTGCATTTCTTTTTCTCTGCACTTCTTCTGCCTTTGTGGTTCATTTTCTTTCTTCATCTCTGTATTCATTAAATTCATTATTGCTCACAATAGAACTCTAACGC